TGCAGCCTGTGAGTACACATCCGTCCTACATCAACCCTATCACTTGCGCCCATCACACAAAAATCTAAAATAATATAATCTAGTGCTCATGAAATCTGAGGCATGTGGAGTGAATCCAAAAAAAGTTTTAATATTTTTGAGAAAAGTCCCGCTTATTTGCACTATTCTGTAGAAACTGCAGTTTGTTGCCCTATATGTACAATTAGACTTTTAATTAAAAATACACTTTTTGTTATGTAATCATGTTTTGCTATGTCTCATTACTCAGCCTTGTTTTATGAAGTGGAAGAAAAGTCATTGAACTATGTTGTCACAAACTATGTTTTATGTGCTATTTGTGAAAAACATGTATTTCTGAAATCAGTCTGCTAATATGATTGTGCAGTATTAGCTTGCTTTTGCTGCTGTGTTAAGTGAAATACTTGCTTACCAGTTGGGTTTAATCATCTACATAATTGTGAAATTTTATAAGTTATAATAAAGCATGATGACCAAAGTTTTAGAAAACATTAAACATTAAATGCACGTTTAAGAAAACGTGTCGAATGTAACTTCCCTATTTTTGTGTGCAAACACTAAATTTTATTTCTATATGTCCTGACATTTATAAAGGTGTTATTTTGCTGCCCAGTTGTATAATTCTCAAGTATAGTGCCAGGTCTTCTCTAGCTTTTCTCAGAATTCTTGGGCTACAAGTACTGTATGCATCTTAAAAAAGAAAAGGAATGTTATATAATAAAAGGATTTATTTCTGTAGATGTGTGAGAGGTGTCCTATTTTTCCAACTTAAATGTATATTAAAATGGGAAATATATATATTAGGTATTGACCTATACAGGTATTGACCTATCACTTTCACTTGTTATACTTGATGCAATTTTGACCTATCTCTATTGACCTAATAGTAGACCTGCATTATAGTTTTACAGAAAATTATCTCTGTGAACTTGCGCAAGCCACTTGCCAGATACAGGCCTCAGTTTTCTCATCTCTGACCTGTGAAGACTAGACTAGATGATTTTTAAGGTTCCATTTTGCTCTAAAATTCTGTGACTCTATGTTGTAGTTTACTCTAAGATCACTTTATTACAATTGTAGACTGTCTTCATTCTTTTTCACTTCTTGTGTCATTAACAAATGTATATATTTCTAATGTATTTGGCTACTTTTTAAATTGTGGTTCTTTGTATTAATCTGTAATTTCTGAGCACAACAGTAAAAAAAAAAAAGTTTGAAGCTAATCTGAAAGGAAAGATGTGGCTGCTTTCCCTGTATTTATATACACTTTTATAATTACATACATCTAAAATTCATTTTCTTCTAAATGTATTTTATTATATGCCTACTATTTAGGTTGGAAGTTAGCAAACATTTTCTGTAAAGCACCAGAAAATAAATATTTTTGGCTTTGTAAGCCACAGGTTGTGGCATATTGTTTTGCTCTTTTTTTTGTTTGTTTCTTCTTTTTTTTTTTAAACAATCCTTTAGAAATATAAAAAAGTTCTTAGCTTGGGCCTCTGACGTAGTTTGCCAAAGCACCTGGCCTAGACTTTTGACTTCACTTGTAACTCTGAAATTATCATTAAATTTTGCTTCACCCTTTATGATACTTATTATTAAAATAGTTACAGATTCTAAGTTTTATTGATTTTGACCATTGCCTTTGTTTCATTGCAAATGTGTCTACTAAAGTTACACTGATTGTTGGACACATTGAAGGTAAATTTTAGATTTGAGGCCAAAGAAGAGCACTACTTTATGCATAAACTTAGTCATCCATTATTTTCAGTAGATAAAGAGTTTTAATTTTGCATTGAAAAAAGTACAGTAAGTATATGACTATTAATGTGGAAACTTCATGCAATCTATGTGTTTTTGTTATAAATAAAATATCCATAACAGAGTTCCTCCACACCTTAAATATTTTTCTCTATATTAGCAACTTGTTGATACTGAACATGCAGAAGTCTAGCATTCTACTGCCAAGAATTGTTACCAATCTGGAAATCAAAAAGAATTGGGAGACTGATAGAACTAAAGAAAAGCTGAAGGTGTAAATAAATTGAAATAAAGGAATTTTTTTTACAAGCAGTGATAGTGATAAAGTCTAACCCCACCAGCACTGCAAATAAAAAAAATAAAAGAATTTAAATGGCATATTTACCCAACAGAATCGATAGCATATATTTATTTAAAATGTTAACCACAGGACAGTGTTCACAATATGTTAAAGGCAAAAAGCCTGACTACATACATACAGTGTCTCTATTAAATATACACACACACAAAGCAGAACTGGAATTGTAAACACCAATATGAGAATAATGTTGGTCATCTCTGGATAAAAGTTAATTTTTTCAGTGTACTATTCTGCAATTTTTATTTTTTTTCAGAAATGAACAACATGTATTGCCTGTGTAATAAAATTTAAATTGCATAAAATCTGAAATTAAGGTAAAGAGAAGAAAATAAAGAGACAAAGTAGTGAAAAAGTGCTTAGGAAGGTAGTGATATGACTAGAAGGAAGATGAGAAGAAATGGAAGCAACAAATTATAAAGAGCATAAGACTTCGATTTAGAAACCATGGATTTGGAACCCAGTTTTACTATTACTTGTTAAACCTTACATGTAGCCTGCAGTTGGGGTGAGGTACAAAATTAACATGGGATTATGTATGAGAAGGCATTTGTAAACTCAAATTCTACGCAAAGTTAGCTTTCCCATCAGCAAATGAAGTTGAGGAAAGATGGGCAGAAACCTATAGAAATCTTTAGTGCCAAAATAAGCTAATCCTACTTACTTTGTTGCTAGTTAGGTTAAATAGATCAAATGAAGGGAAAATCTTAAGTACTATATTAACATTAATGAATTAAAGTCTCATAATGTGTACTGTAAAAAGAGTACCTAAACTCTTAATTCATACTTAAACTCTTCTGTGGGCAACAATGGGGTAAATAGATTTCAAGGGATTAAAGTGAATTGTAGGTTTAGCAAAATAGTCTTTTTTTTTTTTTTTTCATTTTAAATACTGGAGCATGGAATGTTTGATTCAGTACTATGTAAAATTAAGACAATGGTGTGGTACCAAATTATGACCCAGTCTTGAATGTGCTGTTCACCTCTGTGTATCTTGGGTGCCTTGGCCTATACTGGGTGCTGAATAAATAGTACTTGAATAAAATGTTCAATGTTATATATGTTTGAAGTATATTCTGGAGCAATGTTTTAAAGGGTTGTGCTGAATAAATTAGAAAAGTTAACCAGTAGAAGACAGATAGCCGGACAGAAACACCCAACTGAAGGCATCCTGTAGCAAATGGATTTCCTCCAACATTCCAGCCTAGTGGATTGATAAAGTATGCCTTTTCAATGTTTTAAAAGATTGGGAGGTTACCGCAAGTTTCAGCAGGAAAGAGGGTAGTGATCTACTTACTAGGCAGGTCTCAGAGCCAGATTCTAGACAGTAAAGGTCTAAAGAATAGAAGCACTGAGAATTGAAAGAATAGGTCTGAAAGGTACTCTCATGGCAGGCTTGACTAAACTGATGACATACTTAGATTTGGAACATAAAGGAGTCAAAGTTTCTCACTCTAGAGACGTGGATGCTGATACCATTAACTGAAATGGAGAACACTCCGAGGAAAAGCAGTTGGTGAGAAAGAGATAAATGTAATGCTTTCGGACCCCTGTGAGAGAAGTTGACTGTGAAGGCAGAGTTCTGAATCCATTCATTCATTTATTTGCCACTGCCAGGTTTGTGGGATATAAGTTCCCTCAGCAGGAATTGAACCAGGCCTTCAGCAGTGAAAGCGCAGGGTCCTAACCACTGGACTGCCAGGGAATTCCTGGGAGAGTTCTGAATTTAAATTGCAGTTTCAATTTACCAAGTCTATGACCAAGAGGATAAGAGGAAAGGGAAGACAGGGAAAAGGGAAAAATCCAGCTGGCATGAGCAAAAAGGAAATTTTTAAATTGATGCTTCTTGTTTAATCATTAAGTCGTGTCCAACTCTTTCGCAACCCCCTGGACTGCAGCCCAACAGGTGCCTCTGTCCATGTGATTTTCCAGGCAAGAATACTGGAGAGGATTATCATTTCCTTCTCCTGGGGATCCTCCCAACCCAGGGATAGAACCTGTGTCTCCTGCATTGGCATGCAAATTCAAGGAATTCTTGGAAAGCATTTTCTGCATCATGCTGGTTGTGGAAGCATTTTCCCTGCAAAAAGTTGTTGAGATGCTTGAAGGTGGTTGAAAAGAGGTCAGGTGAATACAGTGGATAACGCAAAACTTCCTGGCTGGTGAAGGGATTTATGATAGAGTTAGAGACAGGAAACATCATCTTGTAGAGCCCTATTTGGGGAGGCAGACAGATTCCAGAGGAGGAAATTACAGCCCAGTTGTTATATTACTGAATCTTGAACAAGAGATTGCCTGGTAAATGGTTGGTTAATTCAGGAATCTTGAAACAGAAACAGGAAAGGCCAGATTTTTTAAAAAAAAAAAAATTTTTTTTTTTTGTTTTAAACTTAGTATGGAAGCACAACTGAAGAGTACGGCTAAGCTTGTCAAAATAATGCAGCCTTCATTCGCCCGGGGAATAATCTTACATATCCTTTTAATAATCAGCTCCTCGTGCCCTTAACTCCACTATTGTTTCACTTGCAGAAACCTGGGTGGACCAGAGTCCAAATAACATCGTGAGATTTATGAGTTTAAGGCTGAAGTTTAAGTGGAGGGGTGAAGTTTCGGCAGTTGTTTGCCCAAAAAGGAATAACAGCATTTTTCTTGGGCGGGGCGCTGTCTGTGTTTAGGATCTGAGGTACGAAAAACCCTAAGGACCCGCTTTTTGTTTGGGAAGGCCAAGCAGACGCAACGCCTGGTAGGGGCAGCGGCCCGGCTCTCAAGGCCGCGGGGCGGGGCCTGCCCGGTCCACGTCCCGCGGAGGGCGAGACCTGCGCGCTGCGCAACCACGTGACACCCTCGCCTCCGGGGGCTCCGACGCATGCGCGCCGCGCTCTCGACGAGGAGGCTGTGGTGCTGGTGGCGACTGCTGTGTTTGTGGGAACCGAGACTGTTAAAGTGCCATCTTCGACTCAGCTGGCCCGGACTGTGGCTCATGGAATTCAGTGGCATCCATCGTCAGGTCAGCTTTGGCGGGCGCCTTGGAATTGGCCGGGGGTGGGGGGTGGGGGGCGTGCTGATACGCTGGTCTGGAAGGGGCCTGCCTCGTTTCAGGCCGCGTTGAGGCTGCGGCCTCCCTCTCCAGCCCTGTTTTGAGGCCTGACTTGGCCTCGCGACCCAGCTGTCCATCCCTTCTCTTTCCCACCTGTTGGGTGGAGCAGTGCGAGGTTTCTTTTCTTAGACCACACGTTTCTCTGCCGGCGCCTTAGGACGGGCGGGGAATTGTGGGCCTCAACTTGGATTTAGGAAGCGCTTTGGGGATAAGTCTAAAGCCCATGCTTTGGCGAGAGCTGGGAACCAGTGTGGCTGGGACGACTGGAAGTGGAAGGGACCGAAAGGTTTGGGAGGATGTGATATAAATTGGGTAAAACTTTTAGGCCCCTTGTAGGGTGCGTTTCGCGTTCTGACTGAAGCCACACTCTGGGACTCTTGAGTCACAGCACCCCCAAAATCAGTTAAAGCTTTTGGCAGGACAGGATGGAAGCAGAAAACCAGTGTTTTATCTTTTGTAGCCAGAGACCGACACTGCTGTTTTTCTCGTTCTAAAAATCGCATCTTGAGTTAGTATTATGTACTATATTTATGCCAACTAAAATATTACCTTTACGTTTAATATTCCTGTTCAGAAATACTTAACACTTTTTACGGTTGTAAAGGTTGAAGCCTGAAAAAGCATTGGAACTTAAGTATTTTGGGTTCTGAGAGCTAGTAAATGGATTGAAAAAACAAGCAAATCAGGTCAGGTGTATTCTTCCCTTCCCCCCATTGTAAAGTTGCAGAAGTTGGAACTTTTCCACTGTTTGGCCGCTGGTAGGGATAATGTTAATGAAAGGAGTTCTGCTCAAGAAGACATGTTCTCAAGATTGTGAACTCTGGAATAGTTAGGGGTTACCAAAGATGCCTAATTAGTAGGTAGTATGAGATATTTGAAGTGAGAATTGAAAAGCGAATATTTTTCGTGTCATGATATTTGGAAGTGATTTTACTTGCTTACCTGTAATTGAATACGAAAAAGAATCTTATAAATCAAATGATAGAAAGTATGTGTAGCTTTTTTTCAAGGGGAAGATTAGTAGATGTACAAAATAGATAAACAAGGTTCTTACTGTATAGCACAGGAAACTGTATCAGTCTTACATAATAATGTAAATAAAAGAAGAGAGAAGAGACCTTTCTGTGGTATGCTAGCAAATAATACCCCGTAAAATATAGGATCTAAAAATTTTTTTTTAAAGTAGCCAGAGCGGGAAGAAAATAAATCCAGCCAAATGATGATTTTTATTTTCCCCCAAAATATGAAGACGGTGCAAACATTTATGTAAATAAAGTCCAATTTCTGGAACGTAGCAAGTGCTTAATATATGGAAACTTTAAAAAGGTCAATCTGTATAAACATTCTGCTCAGCCTCTGAAAACAGTTGCCAAAGCCAGTGATTATGATAGTCTCTTTTTTCCCCAGTCACTTTGAGTCTTCAGATTGGCTTATCTGTGGATGAGGCACAGAATGACTTAAGGGTTGCAGAGGTAGTTGATTTGCAGCACTCAAACTCCTGACTTTCAGTCCTTAGTGATGACTTCAGATTTTTATATGTTCTATTTAATACCTCTGTCAGCATAAATGCCTATAAAGAGATTGAGGTAATAGATCAGATTTCTCATTTTTAATTGAGTATTTCTCGTTTTTAATTTAATTAAAAATTAATTTAAGTCATCCTCCAAAAGAGCTTTTAAGTGTTAAGACGGTATATTGAATTCCTAGATAAATGTATCTCTTAACTGAACTAAAACTTAAAATGTATGATGTAGAATTGTACTTTTTCATGTACTGCTTATTCACATTTAATATATCATTTTTCTCTTATACTTGTGTACTTTATGCATCTCATAGTTTTATATAAGAAAGTGCAAAGTAGTAAAAAGGTGTGAGGAGAACAGAAGGAAATTTTTGTTATTCTGAGAGAATAGCATGAGCACGTGCTCAGGCATGAGCATGTGCTGTCATCTGTAAATGACAATAAGGAATACTGTTGGATTAATACCCTTTGAAAAGTTAAGTTGGGACCAGATATACCACTCAGTCATTCAACAATTATTGTCCTGTTGTATACTGGACACTTTCAGATTCTAGGGATATAGTAGTGAATGAAACCAGGGACCCTGTTCTCAGTGAATTTAATATTCTAATAATAATTTATGTGTAGCAGTGTTTTTCCTTTTTTTTTACTGCAGCCTATAATATGTACATGTAACATTGCAGTTTCATAATCTAGTAGTTGGATCCTGTGTGTATTTCAACAGTATGCCCTTAATGTGTGCAATGCACTCTAATTTTTTTTTCTTTTCTGTATTAAAAAAAAAAAATAAGCTGGTGCAAGGCATTCTGAGGTTTGAAAAACATTATTCAAAAGGGGAGATAATTATACTGTAACAACAGTATAAATGAAGAGGATAGTTAATCTTTATAGCAAGGTATGTGTGATTATTTGTGCATGAGGCTTAGAGAAGTTAAGTAACATGCTCAAAGTTCCCTAAGGAGTAACTGGACCAGATTTTTAATTCCGTTCTATTCAGGTTTTAACCCAAGTGTTTTATTATACAACTTCCCAATTGTTATGAAAGTAATAAGCTAGGTTTAGGACTCTGGGTGGGGAGGGTAAGGACTGTGATGCTTTTTTACTTATGATGCAGTGGATTAAGTGTGTATTATATCTCCCTGTGTACTGTAGACCTGAGCCTTAGTGTGAAGGAATTTATACTCTGGAAAGGAAAAGACATTGAATGAGTATCACAAATGTGATTGTGTGCCGTGGAAGCATCATTGGGGGAAATTAACTAATTTGGAGGCTCCGGGAGTACTTTTCAGTCAGGGTGTTTAAATTTGCCCAGATTAGTTAGTGGGCTTCAGTTAGGTTAAAGGCTTTGAGTGAGAGTGTGAGGGTGGGGTAGAGAGGTGGGGCCGCAGTCCAGACAGACAGAGGAAACTACAAACGCTAAGGTCCTGAAGCTGAAATGAGCTGAACTGGAAAACACAACAAAACAGGTGAATGTGATATGTTAGAAAAGGGGCAAGAAGAGAGAGCCTTTCAAGGAGAAAGCCATCGTTACTGTTGGATACAGTGAAGAGTAGATCAGAAAGATGAATCAGAACATGTCCAGTTGGATTTATAAACAAAGAGATTGTGACTTTGGGAGAATTTCAGAGTGGTAATAAAGAAGAATCCAAATTTAAGGGTAAATGGAGGATATAGAAAATCACTGTGGACAGTGACTTCAGCCATGAAATTAAAGACACTTGCTCCTTGGAGAAAAGCGGTAACAAACCTAGACAGCGTATTAAAAAGCAGACATCACCTTGCCAAATTGGTCGTACAGTCAAAGCTGTGGTTTTTCCAGTAGTCATGTACAGGTGTGAGAGTTGGGCCATAAAAAGGCTGAGCGCTGAAGAGTTGATGCTTTCAAATTGTGGTGCTGGAAAAGTCTCTTGAGAGTCCCTTGGACTGCAAGGAGATCAAACCTAAAGGAAATCAGCCCTGAATATTCACTGAAAGGGCTGATGGTAAAGCTGAAGCTCCAGTACTTTGGCCACCTGATGCACAGAGCCGACTCACTGGAAAAGACTCCAATGCTGGGAAAGATTGAAGGCAAGAGAAGAGGGGCGGCAGAGGCAGGATGGTTAGATAGCATCACCAACTCAGTGGACATGTATTTGAGCAAACTCCGGGAGATATGGAGGACAAAGGAGCCTGGTGTCCTGCAGTCCATGAGGTCAGAAAGAGTTGGACACAACTTAGTAACTGAACAACAAGGAGGATGTAGAGATAAACTTAGACAGCTTCATTGGCTTTCTGTTGTACTTGAAACAAAATCTAAATCCTCAACATAGCTTATGATTGTCCTTTGGTTGTTTTATAAGTTAAGCTAAGTTATAGTGTGTATATTATAAATTGTTATATAAAAGAGAGATTTTTACATATTCGAAGGGTAATGGCAGTAATCTAATATAGTAAGAGAAACTGATAAGGAGAGCGTGAAGATAATTTAAGAAGCAACATTTTTGAGAAGATAGGTGGGAGAAGTGATTCAAGTCATTAGTTCAGAGTTTGAGCATTGACCCCAGCAGAGATACTTCATCCATTGTGACCAAGGGAAGGAGGAAAGGCAAATGATTGTAATGTATTTCAGTTTTTATAGTAGTGCTATAATAGGGGTACAGAACAAACACTTTGAGAGCAAAAGGGAGGGAAGATTATTTATAAAAGAGGTGACGGAAAACACGGGCAGAATACTTTCTGACATGAGATTGAAGTGGTCCAGGGATTGAACCCGTGTCTCCTGCGTTGGCAGGCAGAATTTTTTTTTCCCCGAATATTTATTTATTTGGCTGTGTTAGGTCTTAATCGCAGCACATGAGATCTTCATTGCGGTGCACAGACTCTCGTTTTAGTGCTCAGGCTCTGTAGTTGTGGCACACAGGCTCCAGAGCTCAAGGGTTCAGCTTAGTTGCTCCAGCATGTGGGAATCTTAGTTCCCTGACCAGGGATCGAACCCATGTACCCTGCATTGCAAGGTGGATTCTTGACCTTGGACCAACAAGGAAGTCACAGCAGGTGGGTGTTTAACCTCTGGACTGCTGGGGAAGTTTGACATTGTTGTGTTTTTTTTTTTTTCAACATTGCTTTTTGAAAATAGACATTAGGGATTTCCCTGCAGTCCAGTGGTTATACTCCCAATGTAGGGGGCATGGTTTCGATCCTTGGTCAGGGAACTAAAATCCTGCAAGCCGCAAAAAATAGATAATAAAATAGGTATTTACATGAGGAGGTTTACTTTGATATACTTAGTAATGGCAAATTTTAGAAAGAATTTAGAAAGAATTCAAGTCGAATTGAGGGATATTTAAGCAAATCCTTTCATACTGCCTCTTACTGATCTGTTTTTCTGTGAACATGCCAAGCAAAGCAG